TGGCATCTGTCCACTGCCAGGGCACAAGAAAGAGGAAGTCATGAACACCAGGCACCCCTGCCCTGTGAAGTGCCCCAGAGCCAGTCAGGGCTGGTAGATCTCAGGCGAGGCGGAGCAAAAATCCAAGGTAGAAGGTCTGTGGAACCATCTAGAAGCCCTGTTCCTAATCCTGCTATCAATTCCTTGTTGATTCATGTTGTTGATTTGCATTAATTAATCACCTTTTCAGGAAATTCAGATGGGGCAAGAGATTTCATTGGCACAAATTAGCCTTAGAGTGTGCAAAGTGCTTGGTGGCTACATTTTCTAGCTCAAAACCTGCCAGTCACACAGACATTATTTCAGCAGCTAGTGTGTGCTCTGTTAGGCACAGGAAGAAATAGAAGATCAGGTGTTTTGCTTCATATACATTAAAGGGCTCATAAGAATTTAGTCTAGAAGGAAAGAATATTTTTTCCAGTTTTTAAGTTTCAGTGACAGCCTTGACTCCTTCCATTCACACAGTCCTGGTTTAGTCTCAGAAGGGAACGAGAATGCATGAACGAACACAGGAATGAATGAAGTCAGTCAAGTTTATGTCATTACCAAAGACATCACCAAAAGTAGAAACGGTTTCATCATTCAACAAATTAATTCCTTAGGTACCCTGTCAGGTACCAAGCCTGGGGATACCATGAAGAAAAGACCCCCTGCTCCTCCTTTCTGAAGGAGCCAGGAAGGAATTCACCTTGAGAGGAGATTGTGTAACTGTTAGTATAAGAAATGAGCGGACTCGGGTGTAATCAAACAACGTAGCTTATTGGGTTTCAGAAAAAGCTCAGATCATTCCCTGAAAGTTGCATTCCCGGCAGTGGGCCCAAAGCTTCCTTTCACATTTTAACATCAGAACCTCACACTTTGTCTTCCGAGTTTGTTTTGACTCAGCACTGTCAAGAATCTCCTTCAGAGAAGTTATCCCACACTTCAGCCATTTAAGCAGGAATCGAGCTATTTTCCCTCCCCACCTCTCCCACAAAGAATTTCTGTGATTTCTAAGTCATCAAGGATGAGTAATAATCACATCAGCATGGTCTCATATTGAATCATTGCTCCTTTCCTTAGAACATTTGTATCCTCGGTGTCCATGAGATATCCCACCATTAAGTAAGGAAGCTATGGCCAATCTCCCATGGTCCCTGCTTACCTTATACCTGGCCTTCAGCATGCTGTACCAAAATTGTGTTTACTTCCTGTCTCTTCCACAACCTCCTTTCTTCAAGGACTGAAACTAGGGATTACTCATCATTTGTTCTTTCTGCTGGAAACCCACAGCCTTGAATAATGACTTCCTGCATGCCAAGTAACTTTAACATCCCAGGGTCTAGCACAAGGACTGAGAAGCTGCTCCAAAGAGGTGGGAACTGAACACCTGGCACACTACTGTGCAGGGCCTATTTGGAGCTTGCTCTTAGACAGGGAGAGGTTTTTAATTACCTTTCTGACCATGTTGAATCTCCCCATACAGTCCAACGCTGAAGGGGCAGATGGCCAAATGGCCCGCAGCACTGCCCAGTCAGGCAGGGAGCCAAGAGAACAGTGTCTAGCTCCACAAACATTGCCCTTCTTTCTCGGGAGAGCCATGGCTATCACAGAGTCCCAGCTCATGCCAACCCCACTCCAGAACCTTCCATCTGCCCTGCTTTTGCTTACCCTGTGAGAAGCTAAGTATAAATGAGAGTTCATGTCACTGAATTAGCTGGATCAGAAGTAGTGCCAATCAGGAAGGCCAGAGAGGAATAGGCACTAAGTAGCAAGACATTCTAGAAAACACCACGAACCGTTTCTGGGCATGTTTCACACAGCCAAGTTCTCCACAATAGGCAAGGCAGCTGTTACACTGGAGGATGGATGAGGAACCTGCAGCCCATTGAAAAAGTCTGTATGTGTGGTAACATGTTGAAAGAGTGTCTTGCTTTAAATTAATTTGTGTGTGGCCTAGTGTTTCCACAGGGGAGCAAGGTGCTGGTAATCTGAATGGGCAGTTTCTGCCTTTGCAAAGCTGTTACGGACTCCTGGTTCTTGGCCAAAACACCAGGACTTTAAACCAGTTAATAAACTACTTATTGACCTTTCACTAAGAGATTTTCCTTGAAAAAAAAAAAAAGACTTGTCATTTTGTCCTGTGTAACTTGGCACAGTGTATGGAATTATGCAGTAACCACACACACACACACACACACACACACACACACACACACACACACACACACACACCCCTACAAAGTCAGGTTCCGGTCGCTGTTTTCAAAGAGGTTGAGTGTGAAGAATGGTGGGTCATTAGGTCTGTCCTTCTGTAGATTTTATTATGCAGATCATGTTTGCCCTTGTAATTCTTCAGATTAAAGCCAATGGCTTCAGAGGATTTTACAGTTCTCCCAGACAAAAGTGATTGGATTTGTTATTTTTGTAAAGTGTGGCCTGCAGGTATGGTTTCAGAGACAGTACTCAATTAGCAGGCTGGAGGTCCCACTTTAACCCAAGAGTGGGGGCGGCGGGGGAAGCTATGTGACATGCGCTAAATAGTCATTAGTCATTTCAGTATGGGGGAAGAAATGACATTATTAATTCAGTCTTAAACCATAATATAGTTTCACTATGTGAGAATTCTGGTGCCCTGTGCCTTCTTTACCATAAACGTACGTGACTAGGGATTTGCTTTCTCAAGTCTGGGACTTTGTGAAAAAGAATTCTACACTGTGGTTTTATTTTTGCATTCATTATATAAAGCAAGTAAACTAAAAACACTTTGTAACCATGTATTTACTCTGCCAAGTGCCTATATTCCAATAAAATATTCATCCCTGAAGGGCTGTCCAGCTGTCTTTTATTTGGGACGGGGCTGGCTTCATCTTTTAAGCAAATGCCATACTGGAGCTGCAAGGAACAGTCCTTAAAAGTGAAAAGGTGAGTCACTCTTGCTGGCTTCGGAGACTAACTCTCTCTGTTGTCAGGGTGAAATCTGCTGGGGCACCACTTAATGCCCAATGAAATTCTGCTTTGATAACACACAAGCTTACTTTTCAGCGAATTGGACTGCATCCATAATCCAGCAATGGGCAATTACTCTCGATATAATTGAACGGCTGTTCAAACTTCAGTGTATTTTCAGTGGGCGAGATTGAGTCAAACATTTCTCCCTGCTGGAATTATAAATAAAACTGTTTACTTACCAACACTCACAGTTGCTCATTTATCCGTGAATTCACACATCCACAGAGAGTTACTGTGTGTCTCTTAGAGGCAGACACTGCAGTGAATGGTAGGAGAGTGTAGTAGTGATTGCAGTGGGCAGGACCCTTGACGTTCTCAAATTCTCGGGGTGGATATAGCCAGGGAGAACCCATAGCATACATGTGATTCCTCTAATGACATCAACTTCATCTATGATGTCAGTTTTAGCTCTGTACCAACAACCTAACTCAGGAGAAAAAAAGAATACAGTGGAAATAGCAAGTCCAGTAGGGATGGGAGGCACTCAAGATGTTTGATACTTCCTCCCTCCCTCCGCCTGCCTGCCAGGTTTCCGGTGTGTAAAGGTCATCTAGAGTGGCCTCTCCAGGAGTTCTAGGTAGAGACACTAATTAGATGGGAGGTGGAGGAGTTTGACTTCAAACCCTTCTGCAGGTCCTTCTTAGATGTCCTTATTGGCTGTGGGTGACTTAGGGAGGACACGGAGGTCTTGGGAGCAGTCACGTGGATCTGCCTCCGAACAGCTCAGAATCTTTGCCACAATCTTCACCCATCCAAAGCATCTGATTTCCCCTTTCTCCAGCTGGCCAGTTCCCATTGTTTTCCTGGAAGAGTCAGGACAAGTGAGGCTATACCCTCCACTCTGTGGTCCAGGGTCACTTTCTGAACCACCCTAATTCACTTACCTACTTCTGGTCATCCCATCTCACTCCAGGGCAGCCATCTACCTTGATGCCTTTGGGGAAGGGATCCTCCAGTATTTAATCCTTGCGTCTCTAGGAGAGCAGCATCCTTGCACAGAGGAAATGCTCAACACAAGTTGAATGAATGAATTGATAGACACCCTCCATCCCGGATGGAAACAAGAGGCTTTAGGGTGGATGTTGTCCCTTCAGCACAGGGCTTGGGATGCTAGCAAGTTTATTCCTGCATCCTTAGCTTTCTGAGCTACATCTGTTGTAGTAATGAAACTTGACCATGTGTTTTGCACACTCACGTCTCTGGAAGTGTCCTGAAGAGCCACGTCATTTAAAAAAAAAAAATCATGCTAAAGACTATAAACCCAGTTTTCAGGGTAGCAGGCAGTCACCACTAGATTTTCCTAAGGTCTCGGATGTAAACTATCCAAAAAGAAGTTCCCCTGCAGTGTAATCTGGTCCACACAACACGAGCAGATGACCATGAGCACCATTGCCATCAGGCCAGCTCTCTTGGGCTGGGCAGGGAAGACAATGCAGAGACTTAGAGGGGAAATCTTCCCAGGAGTCCTTTACCCAACCCCTTACCTCAGCTCTTTCCAGGAAGCTGGAGTCTTCCATGGACTCTGCCCTAGACCCTCTGCAGACTCAGCTGGGTCTCCACTTTGTGGGAAGGGAATGCGTTATTCCCGTTTTTTTTAAATCTCATAAGAAAGACGTAAATGAGATTTTTGAGTGAGGCATGACGGTGTCCCAGATACTGGGAAGCCGAAAGAGGGAGATTATTTGAGCTCAGGACTTGGAGAACAGTGTGAGACCGCCCATCTTTTTTTTTTTTTTTTTTTTTTAAACTAGGCAAAGAATTTTATTAACCCTTTTCCAAACTTTATTCCCAGGCTTCTTCAGCTTAATTTGCTGCAAAGAATGAACTGTGTTCAAACAAAAACTAAGAGCTGCAGTGTCCAAGGGGCTTGGGCTTAAAAGTATTATCGATCTAGAGTTTATCAGATCCATAAACAAGAGAATTTTAAAAAGCAGTCATGATATAAAATAGCAGCTCCTGTAACCGTCTTCAGAAGTTGCCTCAATTCAGTTTGCCTCCTCCTTAGAAGCCTCATCAAAATTCTCCACCAGATCTGGGACTTCATCATCATCATCCTCTCCAGTAGCAAGTGGTGCTTTTCCATCCACAGATTGTTTGGGCGGAGCTTCAGCCAGTCTCCTTAAACTAGTCAGACTGTCTGCCCCGAGCTGGTTTAGGATGCTGGGAAGCATTTCTGTCAGCTGCTTTGTCTCAGCGTGGCCTGTAATGGTGAAGGTGTTTGCTGCCAGAGACGCCTGAACTTTAGGGTTGTTAAAATGGATCACTGTTCCTTGGTTTGTAAACATGTTCACCTCTTCAATACCAGAGATATCGTTCACACCTAACTTTAAGAAGTGCAGTTTTTTTATCATCTGCTGTGGCTGTTCTGTGAACCACCTCCTTTCTGCGAGCAGTTCCTTTCCCACCAATGCACACTTGTGCCCTCCGCTCAGGGGGTCTCAGGCAGACTAGCTGAGATAAGGCGCACACACGCTGGGACCCAAGATGGCAGCTAGAGGGAGGCCGGAAGTGACTGAGACCTCCTATCTTAAAAGAGAAAATTGAAAAGAAAACAGAACCACAACAAAAACAATTGGTCATGGTGGCTTATACTTGTAATCCCAGCACCTGGTAGATGGAGACAGGGGGGTCAAAAGTTCAAGGTCATCCTCAGCTACATATGGAGGTCCAGGCCAGCTTGAGGCACATGAAACCCTGTCTATACAAAAAAGATTTTAAAAATAAACAACAAAAATGAAAAGATACTTTGCTTGATTACGGTTTAAGATGTTTTAAAGATGTACTTATTTTGATTTTTTTTTTTTTTTTGGTTTTTCGAGACAGGGTTTCTCTGTGTAGTTTTGCGCCTTTTCCTGGAACTCACTTGGTAGCCCAGGCTGGCCTCGAACTCACAGAGATCCGCCTGGCTCTGCCTCCCGAGTGCTGGGATTAAAGGCGTGCGCCACCACCGCCTGGCTTATTTTGATTTTTTAATTTGGATGGGTATTTTGCTTGCATGGATATATGTGTACTGTATGCATTCCTGGTGCAGGTGGAGGCCAGGAAGGGTTCTGGATCCCCAGAACTGGAGTTAGGGACAGCTATTAGCTCCTATGTGGCGTGCTGGAAACTAAACCTGGGTCCTCTATATGAGCACGACTTACTCTTAACCACTGAGTCATCTCTTCGGTCGCCCAAAATATTTTAAAACTAAGAGGTTTCCCTCTGTAACTAAGCAACAAAATTCACATTACTTATATACTGTGAGGTTACTCACAAGACAACCAGGAGTCATGGCCAACATGTTTATCCTCTCAAGATGAGGGACAGACAAACACATTTTATAATTTCAGACTCGGACATGTTTTTTCTATAACATCTAATCATAGTCTTTAGAAGAGGCTGCCATCCATGAGGGGAACTTTAAATATGTACCAACTTTTAAAGAGAATTCCTTTCTTCTCTCTAGAGCAGTGGTTCTCAACCTTCCTAATACTGTGACCCTTTAATACAGTTCCTCTTGTTATGGTGACCCCCACCATAAGATCATTTCATTACTACTTGATTACTGTAATTTTATTACTGTTATGAATTGTAATTTAAATATTTGACATGCAGGATATCTGATATGCAACCCCTAAAGAGGTCTCATATCAGGTTGAGAACTGCTGCTCTGAAGCAACCTCCTGGCCCAAAAAAATTAGCTAGAAACTCAATTTGCTGCCACCAAACAGAGATCTTACAACGTTTATGCATGGTTATCATCCTTTATTGTGACCCTAGTCACTGATCTGCAAATATCCATTGCCCATCCCCTTCACCCGTTAGTGTGAGTCCCAAGTCTTCAAAGCACTCAGGCAGAGGCTGCCCTTCCTTACTGTTTAAAGCTTGGTCTTGAGGCTTATACAATTCCACTTTTTTTGTGGTGCTAGGGCCTTGTGTACACTAGGCCAGCACTCCACCATGGAGCTACAGGCCTAGCCCTAATTCCACATGTTGAACATGCTATGCACCAGGAACGTTCTTCCCTTTCCATAAGGATGCAGCAAGACACGCGCTGCTCCAACACCTTCAAGCTTCCTGTCGGAACATTCTCTCAGCTGTTACTGCTGACAACGTTGGTTTTGTGTTTAATATGTGCTACCAAGAAAATGTTAGTGATTTACTGTGTGCTTTGACTCATCACCAGATGGACAGCTTTTAGAGGACAGAGCTTTCTATAAATGCCTAGTGACGACATACAGCGGGCCACACACTCACCGGGTGGGCCCATCCAGTGTGGTCCCACCACTGTGCCCGCACTTCCTTTCTTGGGCTTTTCTGCTATGTGGTCACCTGGGAGGGATGGGAAATGCCCCGTCTCCTCCTCAAGGAGCACATTCTGTTTCCAGACAACTATAGTTAGAACACAAAGATATCCTCTCCTTTTCCTCTTCACAGCCATAATTTCTGCCTCTGGCCCATTCTGTCCGTCAGGGCTGTACTCACCAATCTGCACCTTACTTTACGACAGCTGTCAGCCACCTCCAAATGGCTGAGTACCCCTAACTCAACTCTCCTCTCCTCCTCTCCCCTCTGCTGTTGGCTCTTTTCTTTACTCTTGTTCTTAGATCTTTTGGGGGGCCCACCACCCAGCCCCCAAATAAATCACACAATGGAGGCTTAGTCTTAATTATAAGTGCCTGGCCTTAGCTTGGCTTGTTTCTTGCCATCTTTTCTTAACTTTAAATTATCCCTTCTACCTTTTGCCTCTGGGCTTTTTCCTTTTCTTATGTTTTTTTGTTTTGTTTTGTTTTTTGTTTTTTCGGGACAGGGTTTCTCTGTGTAGCTTTGTGCCTTTCCTGGGACTAGCTCTGTAGACCAGGCTGGCCTCGAACTCACAGAGATCCACCTGGCTCTGCCTCCCGAGTGCTGGGATTAAAGGCGGGCGCCACCACCGCCCAGCTTGCTTTTTCCTTTTCTTACTTCTGTATTTCTTATTTTCACTCTTACTCCGTTGCTGGCTGGGTGGCTGGGTGGCTGGGTGGCTGGGTGGCTGGGTGGCTGGGTGGCTGGGTGGCTGGGTGGCTGGGTGGCTGCCCCTAGCATCCTCCTCCTCTTGTTCTCTTGCTCTTTCTTCTTTTCCTCCCAGATTTCTCCTCCTATTTATTCTCTCTGCCTGCCAGCCCCCCCACCCCCACCCCCATCCTTTCTCCTGCCTCGCCATTGGCTGTTCGTCTCTTTATTAGACCAGTCAGGTGTTTTAGACAAAGTAACACAGCTTCACAGAGTTAAACAAATGCAACATAAAAGAATGCAGCACATCTTTACATCATTAAATAAATGTTCCACAGCATAAACAAATGTAACATATCTTAAAATAATATTCTACAACACACCTCCTCTCCCCTCCCCTCCCTCCTTCCTGTCCTCTTTCTCTTTGTGGCTTTGAAAGGATCTTACTCCCTCTCTCTCTCTTAGACAAATGAATTCCTCGTGTTTTCCTTTTTGAAGTTCCTCAAAACACCACAATCCCTCCAGTGGCCTCTGTATCCTGGGCTAAGTCATTTGCTCTGGAACCTCAGCTCCCCACACACCTGGCTTCCTCCACATCACAGGAATGCAGGGAGCAAACAATTCTCCCTTCCTCCTCCTCCTCCTCCTCCTCCTCCTCCTCCTCCTCCTCCTCCTCCTCCTCCTCCTCGTTGTAGCTTTTGTTTCCAAACACTATGGGAAGATAACCCAGATAAAAATGATAAAAACTCTGAAATTACAAGAATAAACATTTTTACTTATGTATGTTTCCAAGGTTATCATTTTTGACTCCTGAGAAAGCGAGGAAATAACTGTTGCTTGTCAGCCCACTGCTTACTTCTAAACTCACCAAACACACATTTCCATTTCTTTACTATTACTACTACCACTACTATTATTTTTTTCTATGTGTTTATGTGTACAGGTACATGCACATGTAAACACATGAGTGTGGAGACTAGAAGACAATCTCAACTTCTTTTCTTCAGACACCGATTTTGAGACATGGTCTCTCATTGGCCTGGAGCTTGCCTGTTAGGCTAGGCAGGCTAGCCAGGAGGCCCCAGGGATCTGTCTTTGACTCCAAGGGTCAGGATTAAAAGCTTGTGCCAACACACCTGGCTTTTCTCTGTAGGTTCTGGGAGTCAAACTCAGGTCTACATCTTACATAGCAAACACTTTCCTAACTGAGCTTCAAGCTTGCTTTCTAGCCCTGCCACCTTCTATTGCTGAACTCAGAGTGTAGGAATCTACTTTCAAGAAAATAATTCTCCCCAGAATGCAATTCGAGCAAACCCAGGGCTTTCATGCTGTTATCTACAAAGGCTTCCAGAACACACTAACTCTCTACAGGTTTGTCCTGTCAATCTCCTCTGACATTGTCCTATCCCCTTTGAGACCTCTTTGTTTTCTAATGGACGTTTATTGACCAAATTCTTTACACTCCATAAATTAAACAGTACAGGAGTTCAAGAGTTCAAAAAAAGGTCAGTCTAGAAATAAGAATTTGGTGATTGAAGCTCTTGGGGAATAGATAGAAAATCTATAGACAAGCGAGCCAGGGCACTTTGGTAACATCATTTGTGGACTAAGGAGAGAAAAAAGACAAAAGTCTGTTTGTTGGTTTTTGTTTTTGTGTAAGGATGAAAAGCCAGGGAAAGAGGAAGCAATCAATGTTCCAAGTAATTTGGACAGCTTGGGTTTGGTAAGTGAAGAAATCTGTCCATCGTTTATTCTAAAAAGTCATTGGTGCCTTGGTAGGACAGCATCTGGATTGTAATAGGAGATGAGGGCAGACACATTCATTTCTCTTTATCTGCCTTGGAGTGTGTTACATGTTGAGTTACCATGTTCTAAGTGCTATGTGTAGTCTGACTGATACAGTAAACTGAGGTCAAGAGCGTCGTACCCTGCTAAGGTCAGGGAGGAGGATTGTTTCAATTATTGTGTTTCTGGGGGACAGTGCTATTTAGTACACCACTCAACGGACTCGCGTGCAGTAGAATTTGCTTTCCTGTCACCTGCATGACACTTCCATCGATGGCAGCAGAAACTCGTGACTCCCCATCCTGTGCTTACATAGTAGAGATCTAAGCTCAGAGTTCTACCAGCTACAGTTTCTGTTGGTTCATTTTTGGTCTTTGTTCCAGCTTATGGCAATCTTTGGCATAACTCTGTCATCTGGTATATTAGCTATTCTGGTTTCGTGTTGTCCATACTCTTGATTCACCTCTCTTGATTCACCTCCCGTTTCTATCCAAGATAGTGATAACGTCAAGTCCCATGCTTGGTGGGGTGGTGGATGGCTGGGTCGGAGGCGCCAATAAGAAGTATCAAAAAGCTGATATTAGCAGGTCTGGAGCAGAAGTTGTTC